TTAAGATACTTGCACTAATAATTTTATATAAATTGACTTGCTAAAATTTTTGATAATAATGCTTTATTATTTACTTATCCAAAATTCTCAGAACAATTTATAATTTTCCCAGAATCTTAAAGATAAATGTTATACAAATCTACCATTTATATGTTTCAAAGCTTATAATCTGTTTATGTGTTTCAAAGCTTATAAAATTCCCATTGTATTTTTGTGCTTATTGTTACAATTGATATTTCCATTAATACAAAAAACAAGTACATATGATTAATACTCAATTTTTTGTTAGAAAAACTCAAGACTTTACATTGTTTGTTAATTTCATGTGATGAATTTTATAGTTCTTTGAGGAGTGAACTGTTCTTTTAAAACCTTAAGTGTTTCGAGTCAAATGAAGGTAGACAAGAGCAGATGTACAAAGTGAGAAAGTGAACATAGAGAGCATTGTCTTAAATTTAAGGAAATAGCAATAAGTTTTCAAATGTAAAATGATTTCAGGATCAAAAAATGTATTATGACATTAGAAGCTTGTCTGAAAAAAATAAATGGAATGACATTCCACCAAATATTTCATAAGGAAGAATGAGAAGCTTTTTGAGAAACGGAGCCGTTGCTATGGTTACCAGAACCCCACCACTCTGTTGTCTGGATTTTTCTGCCCATTGTTTGCTTCCATGAGATGTGGTTTTCACCTGATGAATAATCTCCTTAGTCACATTTTATTCGCTACTGTTATCTAGGTAAAAATTTCTTCTCCTTATTCCATAGCACAGCGGTAGGGCGTTTGCCTTACAAGCGGCCAACATGGCCGACCCGAGTTTGATTCCTCCGCCCCTCTCGGAGAGCCCGGCAAGCTACCAAGAGTATCTCGCCCGCATGGCAGAGGCTGGCAAGCTACCCGTGACGTATTCGATATGCCAAACACAGTAACAGCAAGTCTCACAATGGAGACGTTACTGGGCCCGCTCGAGCAAATCGATGAACAACGGGAGGGCCTTTACTTTACTTTATTTTGATTCATCATAACTATTCCTGATCTACCATTTCATTTTATAACTAGCTTATCTGTGTATTCAAAATATTGATTATATTGAATCTGATTATATTGATTATATTGAACAAAATTATTTGTATTTGAAAAGCATTGAGAATTCCTCCAAAAATTGGGCCCTTCAAATCAATGATTTAATTCTAGTTTAAATGAATTTTGCTTTAAACAAACAAATGAACAAATTGGTAAAAGAGACAATTTTAAGTATAAGCTAACAAAATAACACAAGGAATCTTATTTCATATGCTATTTTATTTAACTTAAATTGTACCCAGAAGGTTAATATCACTTATATTCATATATGATATTATGTGCTTTGTATTCTCAATTGTGCATTCTATTTTTTGATGAATATATACTCAGAAGCTTAGAATGAAACACTTTAGGTATTTTATTCTTGACTGAAAAATCACTTATTATTTTTGATATTGTTGTTTTCTTGACCTTGGGAAGTTAGTACTGTAAAGAAATATGATCTAAGAAACATATTGAAAATACAGCCATCAATAATTTCCTTTTTGTGTATATTAGCATTAGAATAGGCATTTTTATGGTTTTTGAATTTCATCCCATCTAATATACACTTATAAAGCTAAGTCTATTTCTGGATCCTTTAGATATAAGAATAAAATAGAGATGGTGTCTATCTTGCAGTAATTGACAATTTGGTGAACCAGAATAGGTTTGAAAATGATTATGGGCAACATATAGTGATTATCAATATTTCTTTTAAGGAATAAAATTCACTTCTACCTGAGTAATAAATGTGGATTAGTGAAAGTTCAAGGAATATTTAAAAAAGATAACATCAATTTAAAGGGCTATATCAGGATATCTGTGCAACTGTGCAACTAATTTTAACTAAGTCTAAGTAACTACTTAGACAAATTTTACACAAATTAGTACTTATTTGAGTACTTATAAAACTTTTAAATCACATCACTCCTTTTAAATAGAGAACAAAATGTTGATCGAAAATTAGCATTGGAATCAGGTACTGGGTTTTAGTTCTCAGTTATATGATCATGGTAAAATCATTTTACATTTTGGGCCTTCATTCATCTTTCAGAAAATATAGATACTGCACTATGTGTGGTGAAAATTTATCAACACAGAACTGATAACTGCTATAAAATTTTAATTTGTAGGTTTTTATCAAGTGGAAAAAAATTACAAAATCAAGAAAAAAGTGAGGCTTTACATAAGAGTCTCTCAGTTTATGTAATTTGGAAAATAGTGAAAAATTTCTGGAATCTAGAAGTTACTTGGTCTCTCTTTTAGTATTTTGTTTTTGGGCCACACCTGGCGATGCTCACAGGTTCCTCTTAGCTCTGTACTCAAGGCTCACTCTTGGCGGGGCTCAGGGGAACACATGGGATCCAGGGATTTGAACTCAGGTAGCCATGTGCAAGGCAAGCATCTCCACCACTGTATTATCACACTGATTTGTTGTTTGGTCTGTGCCAAACAAAATAGACTACGACATACTTGTGTGTGCTGATTTATTTCACCTTTAGAACTGTTGGTCTTTTTTTAAAACAAAAAATGTTCTTCGTCTTCTCTATTTCCTGCTAAATTTTAATATCAGCTACTAAATCGCAACTTAATCCATACAATTATATTAACTTAGTGTTATAGCTTTAGTATTTTGATGACTAACAGATTCCAATACTTTTATTGATCTTAAAATAAAATTGGTCACAAGCAAGTAAAGAAAATTTTCTACTCAACAATCAATAAGTGACTGGAAAAAAAGAAATTTGGGGTAACATTGGGTAATGTCTTCTTATATAGTTAAACAACAATAATTGTACATAAAATTCAATGTGTGTATTATTACATGTTTATTGGTGGTGGGGCCACCCCCAGTGCTGCTAGGGGCTTATTCCTGGTTCCACACTCAGAAACCATCTCTGTCATGCTCATGAACCCTATAAGGTTCCAGGGACTGGACCTAGGTCAGCCATGCGCCAGGTAAGCACATTACCGCTGTAACCACTGTAACGACTCAGACGCCATCAGTCTGACTTTTAAATACTTTTTATTTCTATAATTTTAATTTTTATATACAATTTTTATGTAATTTTAAATAATTTCTATTTTTTTCTGCTGTAAGAAAGCTTTACAAATGATCAAACAGCTTATATCCAGTATTTTAAACATTAAGACAGAATGTGAGTGCCAGGTGAACAGTTTTTACTGTATAGGATAAGGTAGATCTAAATCCTTGTTGAAATAGCTTCTACGTACACATTGCCCGTCTCTTCCACACAAATACATTCATTACTCTTAGTAATTTTTTGACATTTGTGACACCAGAAATTTTACAGTGACCATATTTCAAGGAGACTTAAGGGCTCCATTTGGAAGATGTGAACTAAGTACGAGAGAAAGGTGGGAGAAAGTCATTTATATGTCAAAATAATCCAAGGAACAAATTTTTAGGCATTATTCTATTTTGTTTGAGGCTGGAGTGATAGCACAGTGGTAGAGCATTTGCCTTGCATGTGGCCGACCCGGGTTCGATTCCTCCACCCTTCTCAGAGAGCCTGGCAAACTACCGAGAGTATCTTGCCCGCATGGCAAAGCCTGGCAAGCTACCCGTGACGTGTTCGATATGCCAAACACAGTAACAAGTCTCACAATGGTGATGTTACTGGGCCCACTCGAGCAAATCGATGAACAACAGGAGGACAGTGACAGTGACATGATTCTATTTTGTTTAAATATTAGGAAAATGCTGATAAAGCATATGTAGTAAATTCTTGGTAAAGAGGCAGATGTGCATTCTTTTTATGATAGTCTCAAAATGGTAAATAACTAAGAAGTGTCATTAGTAACAGGAGAGATAATTTAATGGAAGCGATGAATTCATACTTCGCATCTGGAAAGGCTAAGTATGGTCTTTGGTGCTCCTTGATCCCTGAGTGCTTCCTGGAGTAGGCATAGGACAGCCTAGAGTGGCTTCTGCACTGCCAGCTACAGTCAACAACCCTCACATACCTTCAGAACCAGAATGTATAGTTTAAGAGAAATATAAATAAATTTCAAAACAAGTATCTTTTACCTTATATAATACTTTGTAATCCTGGAAATTTGTAGGAAAAAAAACCAAGCTGACTTCTGTAAGTGAGAAATATGAGATAAAATGACCCAGCCTTAGGCTAGCAGATCATAGCCTCATATCCTTAGAAATATTGTGGAGTGTTTGTAGTCAGATTAGCCGAGAACAAGTTTTATCTCTGCTACTCAGTGATTCTGTGATTTTGTGTGATGTTACCTAATATATTTATATTTACTTGCTTTAGTAATTAAGATAGAAAAATAATGAATATCAGAGCACCAAATCCACAGAAACACTTGTGATAGGTTATGTTTTCAAAAACATTGGTTATTTTACTATGTATCTAGGTGGGTCTTAAGTTCTCATCTACTTTTAAAATGAAGAGTAAATCTGTACAGTTTGCCCCCAACTTTCTTGATGGTAATAATAATCAGATTTTTTGGAAATGATGCCTCTCCATATGTTTTTCTTCAAATTCTGTTAAATGTGGTTGACATAAGGTCAGGAGCTTGTAATATTAATTTGTCTGCTGTAAAAAATTTATTATAAAATATTCAGAAGTATTGATTTAGGGAATTTATATCAATATTAAATATTCCATTTATTCAACAAATACGTATTGCATTCTTATTATTTCCAAGTAAATGTAGTAATGAACCAAGTTTACTTTATTATGACTTAAGAACCAAACAGATAATACTGCACAAATATTTATCTGTCAATTAATTGTCCTTTCTAGCAGACAGAAATAACGGTGAAGGTACTTAATAGTGTATCTCTTTCTGCGTTTGGTAAGAGAAATAAGGGGCGGTTGTGAACAGCCATCTGAGGAAACTACCCCAACTCTCCTCTATGCTTTGGTCTCCTCTACCTGACACCTCTTACCTGCCAAGATGAGAAGAAGGACGCTGGGCTCAGCAGGTTAGGGTCTTCTGGGTTGCTTCCGCCCAGGTACTCATCTGTACAAACGCCGCAGTTTTCTGCATCCCGCCAATCCCAGTAAGGAATAGTGAAGTTTTCATCCCCTGTCAGATTCTGGATGTCTTGTTCCCACAACAGCAGGAAAAGTCTATGCCAAGGCAGAAAACCCGGGGCTTCGTGAGCAAAATCAATGTCTTTCCAGACTTCCGACCCTCCAAGAAACGTGTCCCTGGACACATAATAATGCATCCAGACAAAGAGGTCGTAAATGTTGATGTCTCTGAACATGGGTGTTGAGCCGTTATTCATTTGGCCGTAGGTGCCTGTAGGGATGACATAGTCGGGACTGATCGTGTGCTTTGCTAAAGTAAGGTATGCAAGAAATTTATCCTTTTCTGGAACACTCAGATCAAAAATGTTTCTTCTCACCAAGAGTCGTCTCTCTGTGCAGTTTGGTCCCCCAAAGCCAAACTTGCAATTTCCACAGTTAAATCCCATGAAGTTACCAAAACACTGGCAGGTCCTATTATAAAAGACAGAGGGCCAAGACTCCCGGTCATCCACCCCTTTAAAGGGGAACTGAGAGCCGAGTGGGGCAGTAGAGAGAAGAATATCCTGACAAGAACCCCTGCCGGAGAGCTGGCCACAGGGGCTCCCGTCCCCTGTCCATGCTGGACAGCATTCCTTCTCCATCAAGTTCTTGGAAGAGGCACAGGCTCGGGGAAAGTGGCCTGCAGAAGTCTGCACATTCCATATCAGCAGATAAACAGCAGCAGGGAGCATTCTCGCTCAGTCCTCAGCAGTCTGCGGCCGCTGGTTAATTGAACCATACGCTTCAGTTTCCCGTTATCCCTACAGTGACTGTCACATGTTTTGGCTAAGACCTATATAACACCACTCCCATTTTCAACATCAAACACTCAGCCTTAAGCTTTCATTCTCTGAACAGCACATGACTAAGTTTTCTTTTCACTTGGCCTGTATCCCATCTGTAGGATAGGATGCAAAGAGCATCCATCATAAATGGCTTAATTCTTGTTGATATAATAATAACAGCAATCATAATAAAACCTGATCTGAGTAAATTCAACTGACTAAAAATCAGTTATATGAATCTGAAAATGAGAAGTCAGGAACTGGGATTCTCTTATTAAGATTAGGTAGTGTTAAACATCTCTGGAACAAAGTAGCTGCTTCTCAGAGACATAAATAGGCTTCAGAATTTGCAGAAATGAACTTTGGAACAAATTTGTTAAGCTTAGAGATCATTTCCCAAAGCCTAGAGATTATATCTTATTATATGACAATTTATCTATTTTAAATTTATCTTATTTAAATTATCAGTAGAAAAGTAGCTTTTTTAGGTCAGTTTGTTGAAGCTTATTTAGCTCAGCTCTCTAATCACTCCTTCCTGAGAAGAGGAATTCAAAGAGATTGCTTTGATCATTGGATTGTCAGCCTATTTAATACTCCAAAGGAGGAATTTTTTCAGTTACTTTTTAAATTATTTTTAACTTTTTAACTCATAAGTATTAGAAACCAAGGATTATGTGAATTTTTGTTTATAATATGGTCTTGCATAGGAGTTCTCAAGTTAAATAGTTAATGACAAATACATTGTCATAAATAAATATTTACTCAACCAGCATTTGTTGATCACATAAATTAAGGAATTATATTTTTACGATTGGAGATCTAGATTAACTGACACATTTAGGTAAAGTATAATTTTTTACCACTTTTACAATTTTTTTATCTGAGTAGCAGAGATCATCAGAACCTCATGCTTTAAACAAAGGAGACAACTCTGTGAAATATCTCAGGAAATATTGAGTTGCTTTGGATAATAGTATTAAACAATTTTTTTTCTTTACGTGTGGTGGTGTTTCGGGGATACTCTTAGCTGTGTGCTTCAAGGACCATGAAATGCAAATGACTGAACCTGGGAAAATTCAAAATGATTGAGTCTGTGTGCAAGGTATGTTCTTTAAGTCTGTTGAGTTTTTTCTCTGTCCTTCAAAGATAATGCTTAAAGGATGATCTACATCGAAAGGGCATATGAGATTATACACCTGGCTTTAAGAAGAGTAAACTCTGGATGTAGAACTAAATTTGAATGTCTACATTGGAGTATACCATCACATAGCCAAACTATGGGTATTAAACCCAGAGAAGATTAAACTGATGCTTTGAGCTAAGGGGAATTGAATGGTTAGAGGATGAGTAGTAAAATAAATATGGCTCCTGAAATATATCTTTTTTTCTTTTTCTTTTATTTTCTTCTTTTCAGTTTTTGGACCACATCTGCCTTGCTCAGCGCTTTCTCATGCCTCAGGGATCTCTCCTGATGGGCTTAGGGAACCATACAGGGTGACTTACTTGCAGAACTATCACTCCACCGCCTCCTTTATTATTCTGTCCAGTACTCAATTCTCAATGTATACATAAAGAATAAGTGAGAGATAGTTGAAATGAAGATAATATGTGTCTGAGTAACTGTGAGATCCTGAGGAAGCCTATCACTATTAACGATGATATTGGCTTGTCAGTCTATCTCTTCTCTTTCTGCTGGAGTGTATTTCATTACTGAGATATCCTGCATAACATTCTTTTCATACTCAGAGCAGATTATTAGGTGAATGTGGCAGAGAGCAAAAAGAAAAATTCCCGTAGAAACGCTGCCTCTGGCTGAGATCAGGGAGTTATCACATGAGTCTCACAAGGGCATTTAATCTTTTTCTTTCCTTTTAGATTCAGAGATTAACACAGGGCTTTTTGTCTCCGGGGAGTCTGATTGTGCATTACTTGAAGTCACACGTTGCCTGTGGAAGTCTGTTGCCTGTGGAAGTCTGTTCTGTGTGCTTATAGACGGAATTTATTTTCTCACATTCAATTTAATTAAAAAGTCTGCTTTACACTTGCCTTCCTATTAGCTTCCCAGCACAAATTGGGAAAGTCCCTCACCCTACCTTTAGCCTTCCTCCTGCCATCAAGGTCAATTTTTTATTCATAATATCAGAGAATTATAAATATAGGAATGGCTAAAATGCATTTTGTTCCCTTAGTCATCTTTCAAAAGTTGATTTCCTTAATTTGACAGGTCTCATTATTATTCTTAAATATGGGACAATTTTATATGAATGGTTTTAGAGAAAAAAGACATAGAATTGAATCCTACATTTCTAGTTTGAATTAAACAGTAAAGGAAAATTTTACAATTACTTAAAGGAAATTAAACAAAGGTTAAATTATAGACGTGATAATTTGAAAATTTAATGAGAGACTAGTCACAAACACACTATCTTTATTTTCTTGTATTTTCATATATCATTGGCTGTGATCTAGTTAAAATAAAGTCTTTTTCTTCATTCTGTCTATTTATTTCTTCAGCTTTGGGGTTTAATTTTACTTATTTTGGTTTTAATAGTAACTATAATTTATTGATAAATAATATAATTAATGTAATTAAAATAGATTATCATTAAAACAAATTTTACTATGGAAATAAATTATAATACAATTAAACTGGAAAAATATGAATAATTAGTATGTGCTCAACATCAAGCTTCAACAGCCATTTTTTTAAGAGCTCTAAAGTATTGATTTTACCAGTCGGCATTCCCACCACCAGGAAGGAGGGTCCCTTTCTCGACACATCCGCGCCAGCACCTGTTGCTTTTGTTCTTTTGGATGTGGTCCAGTCTCTGTGGTGTGAGATGAGTGAGATGATATCTCATTGTTGTCTTAATCTGCATCTCCCTGATGATTAATGATGTAGAGCATTTTCTCATGTGCCTTTTGGCCATTCATATTTCTTCTTTGAGAAAGTTTCTGTTCATTTCATTGCCCCATTTTTGGATGGGGTTGGATGTTTTCTTCTTGTGGAGTTCAACCAGTAACTTATATTTCCTTGATATCAACCCCTTGTCAGATGTGTATTCGATGAATATCTTTTCCCATTCTGTGGACTGTCTTTGTATTTTGGTAATTGTTTCTTTGGAGGTGCAGAAGCTTCTTAGTTTAAGATGGTCCCATTTATCTACCTCTGTTTTCACTTGCTTGGCCAGTGGCATGACATCTTTGAAGATACCATTAGCTTCAATATCATGGAGGGTTTTGCCAACTTTGTCTTCAATGTACCTTATGGATTCCGGTCTGATGTTGAGGTCTTTAATCCATTTTGATCTTACTTTTGTACATGGTGTTAGGCAGAGATCTGAGCCCATTTTTGCATGTAGCCATCCAATTTTCCCAGCACAATTTGTTACAGAGGCTTTCCTTACTCCACTTTACATTTATTGCTCCTTTATCAAAGATTAGATGATCATATGATTGAGGGGAGATGTCAGTGTATTCAACCCTGTTCCATTGGTCTGCAGTTCTGCCTTTGTTCCAGTACCATGCTGTTTTGATTATAACTGCTTTAGAGTTTGAAGTTAGGGAGGTTGATTCCTCCCATTTTCTTTTTCCCAAGAATTGTTTTAGCTATTCTTGGGGGCTCATTGTTCCATATGAATTTCAGGAGTGTTTGCTCAATTTCTTTGAAGAATGTCATGGTTCTTTTTACAGGGATTGCATTGAATTTGTACAATGCTTTAGGAAGTATTACCATTTGGGCTTTGGAGGGATACTGGGATCTGTGGTGGTGGAAAATAAAGAATTGATTTTAATACAGAACACAGCTGCTCAAGTTCTGTTTTTTTTATGGTCAGTCATTTTCTGCACAGCCTTCTACAACTGATCCTTACTGAATTTCACAGTTGAAGCTATCATTTTGGAGGCTGAGTGATGTTCTCTCATGGATTCCATGCAGTTACCTAGAAAGGAGGTTGTTTTCTTTATGGTTCACAGGGTTCTTTTTTCCTACAGCTATTATACTTTTTGGGAAGAAGAATTGGGACCCTCTCTTAATTCTTGGCTGGTTTAATCAGGGTCTTCCAGGCACGGGCTCCTGCCATGAGAGAACCAATGCAAACAGGCTTTGAGTAAACAATGTGCAGAAAAGTGACTTTGGCAACAGAGGCAAAGTGAGAGCACGAAACAGGCAAAATGGGGACCTTATTTCAACCATTATTTTTTGTAGGCCTTGTTTTACTTTACTTTACTCTGTACTCAATGTAAAGAGTTAGTAGAGAACCCTAAAACCTCTACCAAGAAACTCCTAGAAACAATAGGCTTGTATAGTAAAGTGGCAGGCTATAAAATCAATATCCAAAAATCCATGGTATTCCTATACGCAAATAGTGAAAGAGAAGAAAGTGACATCAAGAAAACAATCCCATTCACAATTGTGCCCCAGAAAATCAAGTATCTGGGAATCAGCTTAACTAAGGAAGTAAAGGACCTGTACAAAGAAAACTACAAAACGCTACTTCAGGAAATAAAAGAGGACACAAGGAAATGGAAAAATATCCCCTGTTCATGGATGGGGAGAATCAACATTGTCAAAATGGCAATACTTCCCAAAGCACTGTACAAATTCAATGCAATCCCTATAAGGATACCCATGACATTCTTCAAAGAAATGGAGCAAACACTCCTGAAATTTATATGGAACAATAAGCCCCCACGAATAGCTAAAGCAATTCTTGGGAAAAAGAAAATGGGAGGAATCAACCTCCCTAACTTCAAACTCTACTATAAGGCAATAATAATTAAAACAGCATGGTACTGGAACAAAAGCAGAGCTGCAGACCAACGGAACAGAGTTGAATATACTGACATTTCCTCCCAAACATATAATCATCTAATATTTGATAAGGGGGCAAGAAAAGTGAAATGGA